TTTTTTTTTCGGGGGTGGGGCGTAACTGGTCGTCGGGCGCACATTCGTGCACTGCACGGGTCCGGTCCGGCGGTCTGCCACACGTACGGAACCGCCTGGACGGCGTCCGCTTGCAAGTATGGTTTGCAAGCATGGCGTCGGAGTGGATCTCTAACCTCACCACTACAACTAAGGCCGCTGTCTAGGAGTCATGGTGGAGATGCGGAACACCTCCGTCGAAGGGGTGTCTGTGACAGCCCATTTGACAACAAATGCCTCTGCGAAAAAGACCTCTGTGACATCCGATCTGACCATAAATGTGTTGATGATGAAGAAGATGGTGATGAAAGGGAGGGATGCGAGGGGGAGGAGGAGGAGGAGGAGGGGGAAGAAGAGGAGCTGTTAATGGTGGGGATGATGTAGTCGAGGCTGTATGTGGTGGTGGTGGTGGTGGTGGTGGAGGTACAGTTTCAACAGCAGAAGCAGTTGCAGGGTGCAGGCCATCATCGTTTGCAGCCACTTCGACAACACTTATGTTGTCTGTTGCGGCTGACCTGGTTTCCAGCTGAGAGCCAGTATTCACATTAGCATCTGCCATTCCACTAGGCATAACAGAGGGGTGGCCGGTTGTGTTCGGCTGTGTGGAGGGCTGATGCTGCCTGTATTCAGAAATATGATGTCCGGGAGTGGATGGGGGCCCAATGTGTGTGGCCGCGTGGAGGGCTGATGCTGCCTGTGTGCACTAGGACGTAACATGGCCCAACTTCAGCTGCATCATCATTTTCCACCTGACCCTGAATGCCCGAACCATGGCAAGGTCAGGCCTACCAGGAACCAACAGGCTGAACTGACCTGCAGTCACCTTGTGCGCTGGCACTCACTGGAAGGACATAATACTCCGCTCAAAGAATCAACTATTCACCAATCCAGGTTCCAACATTCCTGCACAACCTAGCTCCTATCCCAGAAGCGAAATACACTGCATTCTTCTGTTCCAATGCAGACTGCAGCCTACTGGGGTCTAGATAACTTCCACTAAAACAGCGTCCAGCCTCAAAACTCATTCTGGGTGCATGCTGACAGGCCGCTTGAGGCTTTCCTCGCCTCAGGTAATACAGTGCGGGTTGTGTGAAACACTACTACACTACACTCGAGAACACCGCAAAACTAACTTGCACTGTCCTTGCACATGTTTGCCCGTAGTTTGCACTTGACGCTCAAGGGTCGTCCCACTACAGTTTGTACTAGAAGAAACTATTGCGGATATACTTAACCTGGAGATTAGCACTGAATCATGACAAAGACAACAGAGGAGGGCGGAAAGGTGCTGGAAACTTGTCAGGTTGAAGCGCTGAAAAGTAGGAGGCACTCGAGCTCTCCATTGAAACTAGTGGTTCGTTGAACATGCTAAACTGGACAGGGCATGCGGATCACACTCAGAGTTTTTCCTGTTGGGAATGACTCAACACGAAGTATCAGCCTCTGAGTGACACAGACATTCAGCCGCCTAAAGGTACAGATATGGCCCGCCCTCTTATTGCCTGGCAGCCGAGTGGTACATGAGTCACTGTCAATAGGTCCAGAGTTCAAACCCCACCGGTTAGGTGATAAGCCCTTCTGAAGAAGACAAGAATGGCTGTTGCAACACCGGAAGCTGGCCACGAAATTGTTGAATTTGGTGGCCGGAAGGTCGAAATTTCAGCTGTGTGCAGCACCCCCGACCTCGGTACCTTGACAAAGAGATCAGACCTCTCCCATTGGATGCAACAATATTCCTTGTTCAGTGGGGAATGAAAAGAAAACAACTACAACAAAAGAAAAGACAGAAGAGCGAATTCAGGGTGATTGCAAGATTAATACAGTTGCAACGTTCGAGAAACCAGGCAGCAACTTGTTAAGGAATGCGGGCATACAACAGTACAATGGCTAGATCATACGACATTTTTTATTTGGTACATTGACGAACGTTCTTGTGTCAAAACACCCACACAACGGAGTGGAAAAGAGTGGGACAGGGTTACGTCATAGAGAGGGAAACCTGTCACACTCTTGATTTCCTTATCTTCAAAAGGACTAGCCATGGGGTTGAGAGCTGACCACTGCGACACTAATACTTGCCCCACACGACGCATATACACACCCACACTCCCATGCCCAAAATCATGTCAACATGTTAACAGCCATGTGTGAACAGTTGATCGACGCACTGACTCACCTCCCGCACTTTACTTTCTCGTTCTTCTGTAAGCTTGAATAGAATGTCATACACCTGTCAAGAACATAATAATGAATTTCAGCCTCCTGACAATCAGGCTTTACATTGCTCTCTCTCTCTCTCTCTCTCTCTCTCTCTCTCTCTGCAGGACTGACAGAAAGAAAGACTCTCTTGGTCCCCTCGAGGGGAGAAGAAGGCCATTGGGGAATCAGCACAGTGCAGAATGCAATAACAATATTAACAGGTCAGCACAGTGCAGAATGCGGCCTTCTTCGCCCGCAAAAACATGAAGGAAAAAGGGTGCAAATGCGGGTGGAAAGACTGACAGAAAGAAAGACTCTCTTGGTCCCCTCAAAGGCGAGAAGAAGGCCGTTGGGGAACCAGCACAGTGCAGAATGCAATAACAATACAAACAGGTCTACAAGGTGACCTGTTGCGGCTTCCCCCGCAAAAACATGAAGGGAAAAGGGTGCAAATGAGGGTGGGTGGGCGTTTGATGGTGCGGGTGTGGGTTTGGGTGGGGCCGGGGTGTTTTTTAAGCTCACCTGTGCACTGTTGTTGACACTGGCGATGGAATGCTGCTGCTGCTTTGTATGCCTTGAATATGTCTTTTTTTTTTGCTTGGTTCTCCTGTCAGAGACCTAATCACAGTTTGCATTCCTTTTCAGTTGTGGTTTGCTGGGTACGCGGTTGTTCGGATTTGAACTCGTCTGTTGTGTGTGTGTCATGCAGTGCATACCTGTCTCCCGCTCACCACAAATATTCCTTCTAAGATGTCGGGAGATGCACAATTCTGTATTGTATTGGGGGCGAAGGGGCAGGCCGCGTAGGTAGATTGGTTGCTTTTTTCTCCTGTCAGAGACCTAATCACAGTTTGCATTCCTTTCAGTTGTTGTTTGCTGGGTACGTGGTTGTTCGGATTTGAACTCATCTGTTGTGTGTGTGTCATGCAGTGCATACCTGTCTCCCGCTCACCACAAATATTCTTTCTAAGATGTCGGGAGATACGCAATTCTGTGATTGTACTGGGGGCGAAGGGGCAGGCCATGTAGCTAGATTGGTCTCGCGCGCGCGCGCGCGCGCTCTCTCCCTCGCAATTCTGCTCTCAACACATGCAATTTCTTTTCAAGGTCTCGATGGACCACGGATCAGATATGAAACTGATCGGAGCAGATACTACACTTGATTGTGGGGGGTAGAATGGGGAGTGGAGTGGCACGTAGTTAGTTAGATTGCTCTCTCTCTCTCTCTCTCTCTCTCTCTCTCTCTCTCTCTCTCTCACACACACACACACACACACACACACACACACACACACACACA